GCACCGTTTTCGTTTTCGCTTGTGTAAGTCGTGTGCATGGCTTACTGGGCTTTTGGCTTATGCTTGTTTCTTGATGTTTCCTTTTACAGGACTGTTGTTAGAACCCCCTACTTCGGAAGAACGCTGCCCCCCGGTGTCTCCACGTTGCCCTAAAGTTGGTCCGTAAGTGTAACGGACAATCAGAGCAGAAACGGCCGGCTTGCCTGTTATAGCTGCGATCAATTGTGGGTGATATTCAACTTGAAATTAACCAAATTCCCGACTGCTCATCAGTAGTCTAAAGTATCGCCTAGTAGGATTATTTAGGTCGGAGATTACGACCTGTCTGGGAAATCCTGGTCGCGGGGTAATTGATTGGAGTCAACAGGCAGTAACTGTGTCTCATCGTGATTTGCTAGTGGGTACTCAAGCTATTACGGCTAGGAGTCCCCTACATGTATGACGAAGAAGCATTCATTTCTGTACATTGTGAAATTGTGTGCAATGCATTTTACTAAAAGCTGGTTCGTGTTCTAAACCCAATAAATGTAGGATGATTTTATCGTCCAATATTTTCGTGTCCGACATCTTAATCGGAAGATTGCAATGTTTAACTGCTAAATCGTTGAAACTGCCCCGTAAAACCAAGGAGACATTACATTGGAAACCGTTGTGTGCGGTTACTAGTCGCCAAAATATACATTTTTATATTAGTTGATTTCACTTAATGTGCCATAAGATAAATCACATGAGAACTTCGTAAACCAGCTAAGAATTCCGATTCAATTACAGCAAAGATGCCGAGTCTCTCGTCTAACGAAATCACTGTTGCCAATTAATAATGAGTGCTCTCAGGTCAGATGAGGCTTTCAGTTTGACTAGAAAATCAAACCAACCAGTGACACATAGTGGTTCAGTTGGGAGCTAAATTAGTAACTACAGTTGGTTCTGCACGCAACCTTATTCCTTGCGAGAGCACATGCATAATGTCAAGGTCCCATATGACACACAATAACGGCGTGCATTTGTTACGCGTTTGTAATGAACCGATGTGATATTTATGAAAAAATCCCAACGACAGCTTGGCTTTGCATGACCAGTCTTTCCAATTACTCAAGGTATACAATAATATACTCCTAACTCAGACTCACTGTAGTCAGTCGTTTCTGAATATCTCGGGTGGGAACCACGGTAAGTGAACAATTCAGTCGAACAGGATGTGACTGAAGCAAGGTTCACCAAGACTTCCATGTTAGTGGCCGAGATTTATCTGTTTAAAAGTTGTTCCATGAGTATAGTTTGACTGGTTTTGTAAGATGTGTCGAATAAGTCTTCAAAAGGAAACAGGAACATTGTTGTTAACCCTTCTAAACGGTACGCTGGTTCGTCCTAGTTATCGCAATTCGCTTAGCAGAATTCGGATTCTCGTCCCGGTAAATATTAACGCGAAAACCTCGGTCCCGAATAGTACCGCGACTGTCCCGTATTCACTCCCAAGGTAAGTCAAAAGACGCGTTCAAAATAAGAAGCTTTATTCCGCTCCAAAACGGGGTGCGGCTTTAACGACAAGTATAAGGTATTTATAGGGTGCGTAATGTCCACAAATTCCCACCACACCATGAGAAATAGTTAGGAACGCATATGTGCATAGCGGTATAAAAAGTCAACCGATTTGCACAGCCCCGCTAGTTAGGACTGAGTCAAGTGGTTTTTTTCTTCTTTCTCACGACGGAGGCGCCCTGGGACGGTCACAGGGTGGGCGCCGTAACAAACCTACTGTATAACGGGACGGACATTCCCACCAATCCACCACTATGTTTTAAGGATTCGTTTAAAAATTGTGCGAGTAAATTCCACACATCCAACACTTTCACATCCAGGCTGTTAATAGACTAAGTTCTCGTTTTCGGACTAAGTAAAACATGTGTGTGAGTTTACAATTGAATGTTCCATTGGGACAGTTTAGGGTTAACACGAAAATCTTACATAATCTAGGCACACTCACAGGCAATGCATTCGTTTAATCAGGGC